AGGTAATTTTTTTCATTTAAAACAGCATGAAGAAAAAAAATTGATTTGCATACTGGATGATAAATTTTATAAAAGGACAATTTCGTCAGTCTATGTATCGAAGTTTGCATAAAACTGATGGAATAGGGTTTTGTTGCGCCTATTGTTTTTGTCGGCCAGGAGTCTACGTGGCGGTCCTTCTCATATTTCATCAGCATTTGAAGGTTGCAGAAAACCCACTCTCCTTTTGAGACGTGCAAAACACTCCGTATGTGAAACAAACGTTGAACCAGCAAATTCATGCCAAGAGTTTTTTTTTTTTTCCATATATATATAACTTAAAAGTCATGCTTAGACTTGACTGATTCCAAAAACTTGGATTGCCATTTTTCTTCAAAAAATTTTTTACATTTTTAATGAACATATTTTTTATTACATTTTTATCCCACACATATCAAATTATTATAATATATTTTTTTATAAAAATTTCCAGAAAATGACAATCCAAACGGGCTCATAGGGCCAATGTAGTATATAGTCCATGTAGACCTATGTTAGGACTAACATAATACTTCATGTAGTACAGTACAAAATTTCCTTCATTTCCCGTAATTAAGGTAAAAACTGAATGTTTTAAAACTGCAGCATGAACCTCCGTATGATCGTGATAGGGAATTATTCCATGCCTAATAGCTAGTTTGGGAGATAAGATTTGAGCAGGAAAAAAAAAAAGAAGGGAAGAGAAAGTTAAATGTTTTCAACGTTTGGAAGTTTTAGTGAAATAGAAAAGAAAAGAAAACAACTAATTTAGAAGGAAATAGAGACCAGCTACAGTTAAAAAAAATTCATCCCAAATCGGGCAGAAAGCAAAGGAAAGTTGCAGAAAGCCTACAAAAAATTTTGAAATTGCTCATTCTATCCTTGAAAAGCTATTGAATGAGATTTTTATTGACCAATGTGTTTAAATTCATATCCTATCTTTCATAAACTCCCAAATAATATTAAAATCTCATATCTTCTTTTCTTATCCTTTCTTTTCTCTCATAAGTTAACCTTTCTCTTCTTTTCTTTTCTATCCGCAACTCCCAAACTAGTTATAAATGTTTTTGCTGTGAGTTAATGATTCCATTTGATGCACAATCCTATGCCAATTTTGTGTATGGCTCTAATTTTGTACTGAACACCTTCTTATGTTGGGGTACTAAACACCTTCTCCTGTTGGAGTTGGAAAGCATGCCAGCAATGTTGTTAAATTCGGACCAAATAGTAACTTAACTAAACTATTGGGTCATGGGTCAACTAGTTGGATCAATCATACCATTCTTAAAAATCTGCTGATGTCAACATGATATTGTAATTATTTTATATTATAAGTTTGAGAAATATTGAAATTAAGTTTTTGGTTATATTCAGACAACCATACAAAATGTTCCAAAAATATTAGACATGCAATCAAATATACACCTAAAAATTATATATAAAAATGTAAATTCACACCTAAAACATGTCCATTCTCCAAAACTACTTGAAAAATAAAATTAATGCAAATTAATGCAAATTAAAATCACTGATACTAATTTGATAAGATTATAGAGATGAAAACTTCTTGATTTAGAAATCATTTAGGGAAACGAGTGATTGTGATGTTTAAGTTAAGTGGTGGCGTTTTCTTATTCCTATTAATAAATCAAATTTTACAATTTAGGTAATTTAAATTATATTTGGGGAAAACAAGAAATAAAAGTTTGAGAATCAAATCAATCAGTCTAATCGGATAACTGATTTAATCGATTTTTGATAGTTTTAACTAACTTTTTATCAATGTAATTTTATGTTACAAATCAATTCAAAAAGAAAACTGGTTCACGATCGGATTAATCAGACCGATCGGTCTGATTTGAGTCTAATAACACTACAGACAAGAGACTAGTACATGCTAGGGGTTCGACAAGGATTAACATTATCAAAACGTTCTTAAGCACTTTCTCGAACTCGTCAAGTTTTCTTAAGAGTCTCTCTTGAACCAAAAATATAACACATAATTATTGGACTTATTAGACAATAATCAACATCCACAGCTGATGGTTTGAGCCCCTCTCATCTTGCTTTCTTCTCAAGTAGTATCGAACTCAATTGAGTCTGCACAAGACCAGCCAAGCCGAAGCCGTCTGCAAATAGACGTGGATGCAACTTATTGTATAGCATCGATTGGCATCCACGGAACTAATTCTATACCCCATCCATTTGTGCAATTTCTAAAATCACACCGAGTTGAGCAATTCGACCGGGCAGGATTTAACATCCATTTAGTGGATCGATATTATTTATGTATAACCTAAGCACAAGTGTTTAGCAACAATCATGTGTATTTGGATAAGAGATTATTTGAAAAAAAAATTATTTATAATAACACTATAACACTTTTTGTGACGTAATGTATACGAGATGAAAAAATGTAGTTCAAAATTAATAATATTTGATTTTTTTTTTGGCAAATCGTGCTAACCAAACAGACCTTATGTTTGTATATTGTTCAGGAATATCTGATACTCTTTCGGAAAATTGTCGTGGTGACACATTTGAGAGACCCATTAAGTAGAATCATTGTCAGAACAAAAGCCAGGGCTAAAAGCTCACAATAAAGAACAAAACAATATGAAGAATTCTTATTTCTCAAAATGTAGCAAGATAGGAAGGCAAAAAGTTAGCGTAATCTTTACATACGCCATTGCCAGGGGGAAGTAACTTTGCTTTTGTTCATGCACCCATGCCCAATCCAGACAGACAAATAAGGCAACGTCCTTTGTTATGTGAACCAATTCAATTCCCAGACTGCTGCTCCAGTGCCAACGTTGATGCATCATTAAGACTAATAATAGCTTCAGAAGGAAGTGACCTCCCTAAATAGAGAATTATGGAGTACTATCTGACCTGATCTGTCACCAAGAACTTCCTTTCTTTAAGTCAGGTACGTGCATAATCATACTCGCTAAACTTCCGCCCATCTTTTGCTGCATCAATGTGAACTGAACAAGATCACGACTTCAGAATCACTGGTTCAAATTTAACAACCAACGGTTTCAATTCTTCTGAAAGATAGAATCTCAACCAACCCTTATAGGAACTGTTACAATTATGGTTACGATTTTTGAATCTCCGATATGAATCCGATTAAAGTTTAAATTGATTCCGATTTTGGTTTCATTTCTTTTAGTTATATTTAAACATTTATTGTTATAAAATTGATTCTAAGAAAATATCACGTGCAAGGAGAAGGAAAATATGATGCAAATATTATTTTTAAAAAAATACCTCATTGTTAACTAGATTGGATTAGTCATGAACTTATATTAGTTATGAAATATGGATTACTAATGAAATGAAATAGAACAATGAATTGTTAGTTTATCATTGGAGATGCTTGTGTTGAATGTTGTTTGTGATAGTGAACTCTAAATTACTCAGATAAGTTTAAGTAGCAAGTGTTTTTTTAGACGATTTGAATGGATCTTAAACTGCCAGTTCCGATTCCGATTCAAGTTTTTGGAGGACTTGAACCTAAATCTAAACCCTTATTCATAGTTATGGTTCCAATTTTAGCTTTTAAAATCTGATTCCAGTTTAATGAAGTGCTGATTCGATTTCAATTCGATTTGAGTCAAATTTGAACCGTGATCACCCTAGCGTGAACTTCTCTTTTATAGGCACCCAAATGCAAGTATTTTGGGCTACGATTCCGTGTTAGAAGTTTGAAATGGCATATTTACTGTACAACATGCCCCCCTTAACAAAAGATAGCAATAGATTATGCCCAACATCACTGTTCTAGAAGGTCAAATTACCGCGATTTTGGAACGATGTATGTATGGATGAGTGCTTCTGAGCCCGGCTCTCTGACCAACTGCTGCCTAGTGGGACTATTTGCTAAAGGAAACTCGACTAACAATTGTATGATTAGTGATAAGAAGAAAAAGCAAACGAGTATTGAGAAATTGAGAAGACATGAAACAAGAACAGTGATACTAAAGAATCCCTGGCTAGTTTGTGGCAAACAAAGACAACATAAATGGCTAACAACTTTAGAGCCAACCAACATTTTTCAAGTTGGATTAAAGACTCAATTACAATATTCTGTCTTCCCATCTTTTCATATTGTTAGCTTTATTAGTCCATTGATGGAGTGATGATCATCATTAATAGTAACATCCATCCACCAAATTACAATTAATAGGTTAATTTGGCATTTGAAAATTGTAACTTACATCTAAATGTTTTTCAAAAGTCAATTAGTGTGTTTGGATTGCATAGTTTTGAAATAAAATAATTTACTTCACATATTCCAATCACCTTTAATTTTTATCTTCCCAATCACTTTTTTATCTCACATACATCACATCACAAAAAGTGCTACAGTAATTATCTCAAATAAATCATCCAAATAAACTCCTATCCAATTTACAATTTAGCATAAAACTTTTTGCAAGGTATCAATAAACATTTCCATGGACCCTCTCATCTTGCAACACAAATTTGTCCCTACGAGTTAAAAACACCATATTCCTAGATGATCTTTAGGACGTATCTGATAAGACACTTAACGGTATAGGAACACTTGAATATTATGTTCTTTCTTTGGAAAATCTAAGACGTGTGGATTATGGATCATCAAATCTAATGGTTTATGGCGAAACATCTATATATGCACAATCATCTACTGGAATATCTAAATCCAATCAACAAATAAAATCACAATACAAACAAAGTACCGGAGTTTGGATTGCATTTTTCTGGATTTTTTGTAGAAAAATTATTGTAGCGATTTGATATATGTGAGGTAAAAAGGTGATAGCGAAATGTGTTCACGAAAAACATAGCAATTTTTGGCTGTCCAAACACCCCCTAAGGATTTTCCCAGTCTCACCGGAAACTCCAGCTTCCCTTCTTTTTAGCTACATGAATTATGATCATGTAAAGAAATTACTGAAGCATACAAGTTTTTAACATTGTTCAACATGGCAACGTTCAGCTTAAAGACCTCCCTACAAGTACTATTCCCAGAAGCAGTGCAATACAGCCAAGAAGGAATCCAAAAGCAGATATGAAACATAGTGTTGCAATAAATTACAGAAGCTAAACATAGTGTTGCAATCAATTACTGAAGCTCCAAGATTGTCAGATTTCTGGAAGAATTCCAATGCTGAATAAATAACTTCATAACCTTCACAAGTTAAATGCCTTAATCCATACACCAGCTGAACTGTGAGTTTGCTTTTCCACAAACGTATTGCATCCCAAGTAAGTCGGGATCAGCAACCACCAAACAGATTTAGGTTGAGGGAGGCTTTTACGGTGGATTAGAACCCAGAAAACCAAGCTGATCGGTTAACAAATCCAAATCTTCTAGATCTTCTCCTTCACCACCACGCAAACCTATGTCATTTTCAATGCCCTCATGAATCAATCCATCCCAAAATCCATCATCAAATGAGTCGTCTTCCTTTCCAACATACTCTTCCTCCAAATTCATTGGAGGTGGAGTTGGCTCTTGCATGTTTATTGCAAGTGTGTTCAGCTCAAAATCGGTAAGTCCAGTCAGGTCATGACCATAATCCTGACATTCTAGTTTGACATAATCGTTAACTTCTTCCCCTTCTTGACCAAATTCTCCTACACCAACACTAAAGCTAGGACCTTTATCGATTGGCCTCCTCCTTTTGTTGCCAATTGCTTCCTCAAGTTCTTTCCTTTTGTCCTTCTGTTGGACTAACTGCTCAAGGATTCTAGGATTCTGAATTGCTCTAGCCAAGAATGTCATCATCTGCTGCTGTTTATTCTCAGTTCCTCGTAGTCTTTGCTCCATTGTTTTAAGGTAGGCTTTAGTATTCTGTTGTTGCTGTCTAAGCCTTACTAGTTCCAGCATTAGCACCTGCTTGTCACGCCTCAACCGATCAACTTCAGCATCTAATCCAAACCTTCCCACTTCAAGACAAGACTCTAAATTTGGGTTGGAAGATTGGAGATGGGGAGGTGTCTTTCTTCGCCTAATATTTCTCAAAAGATGCCTTTGCCCCCTTAAGAACCCTTCATTAGAAAACTCCCATTTTTCTGCATCAACCTTTCTAAAACCCTGCACAATCGAAAGTACTACCAGTCTTTCACATTATATAACCATAGGGAAACATGTACCTGACGTTACAGTACTTTGAGAACCATATAAGAAATAAAGGCCATAAACTTAATTTAATATCTTGGGATTATTGTACAGAAAACCAAATAAAATTTGAAGCGTTACTCAATGACAATATTTACATGTTACAAATGAAGAGTGATTAGTAGAACATGTTACATATGATTTCTGCATATAATTTAGCCTACTACTACTACTCCTTAAAGCCATTGCGCAAACAAAAGGAATACATTGAAGAAGATTGCAAGCATTAAAAGGTGAAACTATTAGAGGTGCAATTTATACCACAAATCTTGAAATTGAAGCCCAAGATTACCGCATTTCAAACTAAGATGCCTAATGAACACGAATAAATAAGGGAAGTAAATAAAATATCTTGAGCAAATCTATATATCTAACTTCATAATTTAAGAACACATTGTAGACAAGTAAAAATGAGAGAAAATCCTTCAGCTAGTAATTAAGAGAAGACTCACATAAGTGTTGAGCTGCCTGACAAAGCTTGAGAAATTGTTATGCTTGAAGTACCTAGGAAGAAAGTTCATAGCAAATGTCAGTGGATCCCAAACAATAAAACTGTTGTTACCTTTACTCCAACAGACAATATGATCGGTGCTTGGATCATCCACAAGGTCATAAGTCTTAGTGAGAAATGGTGGAGGGCCAGACTCGTGAAGCCCCTCCATTGGCTGAGGAGTGGCCGAAGAAAAAGTCTCATCTGAATACCATGAACTAGATCCAGCAGGAAACTCCTCCTTCACTGATGAACCTAAAGGATTCATACCTGGATTCCACTGACCAGACCAAAAAGGGAAACCCTTTCTGGGATTAGCTAACGACACCAAAACCTACCAGGGTCAGCCTTGTTTTTAACTATAGATGGATGGTTTGGCAGATTTGACTTGAGAGCAGTAGTTGAAGCAAGTCACAAACAAATACTACCCCTAAACAGTAACTACTTGGTACTACGATGTTCCTTTTCAAGGGCATAGATCTTTAGCTGTTTTCCTGATACTGAGCTCCTCCTCCTCAAGAGAGAAGGAAGAAAAGAAAATGAAAAATAGTAGTATCAAGAAAGAAGAAAAAAGAATATTAAAGAGAGAAAATGGTTTTTGGAAGATAATTTACGTGCAAGTTAAGGAGAAGATTGGGAGGTTAACTGCAAATCAAGGAGGCAACAATGAGGAAGTCCAAGAGAGTTGGAGAAGACAAGCTTTGGAGACCATGCTTCAATGGAAGCAAAGAAACGGGGTGGAGGAAAACAATAGGGTAGAAGACATGAATGCTGGGTGGAAAGTTTTATTTCATTGTCATAGGGCTGAGCTGATATAAAGAAGGGTCCTTTCATCTTATTAAGTCGTTATTGGTTCATAGTAGCAGTTACTATTAGGAATAAAAGAAAGGTCATTTTATTTTATTGCTTTTCAGTCTTATTCACCACTTTTGTCACTTTGGACGGGTGGAAAGTCTACATGATGCATAAACAAGAATAAAATGGTGTTGAGATATTTTCAAGTCCCCACACCACCCAATGCCCTTTCTTCTTTTGGGAGGGCCTTGAACTTTTACAGGTTTCACTGGTAAATCCATTGCTGCTGCTACTCTTTTGTTAAAGGAAAGTTTTTCTGTACGTGTTTCCACGTGTTGGAGGGGAATCGTCCTTCCAACATACCAAATCAGAGTACAGAATTGCATGTGAATAAGACACGAGAATTGCATATGAAAAGACACGTTTTTAACCTAAATTTTCCCCAATCCAATCTCGTTGGCCAAATGACCACGGCCACCGGTTGAGATCTGATTGGTAATTCAGCTTTAGAAATGTAGAGAAGAAGTTGATGGTTTATCCTGTGAGTTGTACATGTGTTCCAAGGTGGTATCTCGAAACGAAAACTTCCCTTTCTTTTGTGCCCTTTTTGGTGGGGATCAATATTGCTATGGTTGAACGAGCATTCTCATTTCCGTGGAAGGTTTGATTTCAGAATTTTCTACCTACAATCCTTTTTCCTCAACATTCAACCAAATCTGCCCTCCAAGAGAAGCATTATCAATTACTTGTTTTTATCTTAAATTTCAGTAAGAATTTACTCAAGACAGGTTTTCATACAACTAACATAATTCACAATTCAGTACATACACTATCACGGTTAGATAAATTACATAATTTTGAGTTTTAAATTTAAATTTTATACATGTATCATATATCTAATGATGATAATGCATACATTAACAATGTATATAAAATTAATCCTAAACTAAAACTCTTCATGATAAATTTCGTGAATTATTTAGCAAAGCCCTTATGAGTTGGTCCACCAATGTGCTTCGTAATATTGATTTCGTATGGCATTACAACAAGTGTTGGAGCAAAATAATATTAAAAAGAATTCGCTAAATGTCTAGAACTTACACGAAAGACGGAGATAGGAGACATGGCAGGCAATGGAGTAGAGTCTACCATCTCGTTTCTTCCCCCTCTTTTGTGCAATTTAATTTTCAAATGGGACCAGAATGCAACTGTTTTTTTTTAAAGGGAATTCGATTGTTTATAATTCATATTATATACTGTAAACAACAACGACGGAAAGAAAATAAATATATCTCTGATTGGATGGGAGTGTTTTTCAAAAATTAATTTTTCAAATACAATAAATTTTTTAAAAAATACTCTAAAAGGTAATCTAAAAATTAGTGTAAATTTTTTAAAATTTTAAAAAATATCTCAAATATATTCTTAGAAACTCTTTTACTCTTAAATATCCCAAATATTTTTTTAAAATATCCCAAAATATACTCTAAAAATCCTGCTATAACAAAATTTTTTAAAATACCCCAAAAAGAGCTAGTCCCCACGTACTAAATGGGCGAGCAACAAAAGATGGAAAACGAGTCAAACAAAATGTTAAAATACGCGGACTTCAGTTAAGTAGGAGTACTTCGTACGCTGAAAATAGTAAGGTCGGTTAGTTTGGCCACATTCCCAACAAGCTTTCCATGGAAAATATCTTTATTGCCATGGATCTGCTTACCTTAAATAATAATATTTAGGTATTTTAATCATTAATCAAGATCTTAATGATGACACTATAAATCCTTAATGATAGGGTCCACCATCCTTGACGTGTTCAAGGCTCTAATGGAACATCCAGATCTTACTAGATGATTAAATAATAATTAATAATCAACTCAGACATCATTATTCAAAGCATGTTTTAAGACTATGGAAGCAACACATGCACAGTCATGGTATTCTAATACCAAAATAATAATGTTACATTCTCAAAACATTCACACACGTAAAAAAAAATTTTAGACAGCTCTAGCCAATTTGGATTTTGATTATGCAGCCCAAAACAACACAATCTTTTTAGTTTTACACACGGTCCTTAGGCTAACCCTATTAATTTTTTTTTGGGGGGCTAAAGGAAGTTTCGAGGAAACAATTTGTTAGCCAACATGAAACGCCATTAACACTTAAAATCATATTTCCATGTAATCAGAAACCTCATAATTACCTAACAAATGTTTTTTTTAGGTGAGCCCGGATTTTGTAAACCCTCTTTTTTAAAATGTAAGAGTAGTAATAATAATAAGGAGCGAAGAAAAGAAAGAACATTAAAAGCCAATATCTCTTTTTAAGTTTTAAAATCTCAATTTTAACCATTAGACTAAAGCGGGCAGATTTTGTAACTCCTTACCCATTCTCTTCGTTTTGGTAATAAAAGTGTGACAAAATCCACGAAAAGTTACTTGGTCCAAGTCTACATTTCTGATTTTCTACCAAGACAAACGGCAAAAGACAAGACAAGAGGTTAGATGATTGTAATTGGGTAGCCCGTGCCAAAGACAGTAGTGTATTATTGCTAATAATATGAGGCCTCCCTGTCCGGTCACAAACATCTGCAAGTATATCACAGTCCTGTATGATCCAAGAGTGGCACAGCCCACCCAATGATATCGATATCGGTTGCCTACCAAATACTAGTCGTAGGAAGTATCTGACCCACCTACATCACCATATCAATACACGCGTTACCACATCCAGCCGTTGAAACACAGTTCCAGCTTATTAAATAGGACACAATATATTAAACTAATACGAACAACAAAAGGGCAAAAAAAGGGCTTACTTTATATGGGTTTCCGGATGGATGTAGAACAAAAGATCCAGACAAAACATGATCTCCTAACATCAATTCAGAAGTGTAACAGGGTGGAAAAGGGCAGGAAGCATATTATATATATAGTCAGTTTTACCAATATAGATCCACCATTGCAACTCGCATATACACAACAAAAGAACACACCATTTAAGAGGGGCTGATAAAGCAGGCAAGCACAACACAGTTTTCCATCTTTTCTTATACAACATCATCTTAAACGATTACAGGCAATTAAAAGCAAAGCAAAGCAACAAGCCAGCAGGAAGTATCATTCAATCCAATTTATTTGATAGCTATCATAATAAGCTTCACTTGTCATACTGTAGATGCGTTTTTAAGCTGCAGCGTCAACTGCCTGACCTGCACTTCCTTCTGCCCAAATGTTTCAACATATGCTTTCCTGCATACAATGACCCCCTTCTTAGAATAACAGACCATAACTTTCCACTTTATTTTCCAGGTTATATTTACTATTTAGATTTCTTTTAAGTTCGGACAATGGCAACAATAAATATGTGGAGAAGCAAAGAGCTTCAAGCTAAGTAGAAGACAACCTTGCAGGCAGATGGTCATGCGGGCGATTAAAGGGCGTCCAAACCGGATCACCAACAAAAAGCCGCATTGCCTACAAAACAACAACAATGTGATTTAATTAAGAAATAATTTCCATGAATCGTTTCCATAATAACCAAACAATGTGGGTTATGATTTGATCACAGAAAAACTAAATAATAATAATGAACAACACACATCAATTGAGCAACCAATCCATACTCAGGCCCAAATGAAAAAAAAGAACAGTTGTACAACATTGTACTTTTTGTCTAACACAGGCTTATTTGTATTGCACACAAGTACCTTGATGTAGTTGTCAGAATCAAGAGTAAAGCGGTGATAAATCCCAGCTGGAAGGACAATCATGGCTCCTTTCTTTACCCAGATGCGGATCCATTCATCATTATGATCCCGAGCATCAAAGTAACCTTCACCAGACAAAAATTTAAGGCCATAGACCAGTTTGAGAAAGTAAGATAACAGAGTCAAATTACTGTTCATTAACATACCACTCCCTGCAACGCAGTAGCGGATCTCCTCGTCAGTGTGAAGATGTTCTTCAAAGAAGTTTTTGATCTTCTCCTCATAATTGGGTAATTTCTCAGGGCAAACCTCGCAGAAGTCCTGAAAAGGTGTTTGGATCCCATTATACTCAACTTACCAGTCAAGACAAAGTTTAACTGACAAAGATAATAAATGTATGCCACTTTGATTGACGCTTCTTCATACCATGTATGAATATCCACGGGCGTCACGGATTTTCTTCAACTCTTCATCATTTTCATACTTATCAGCATCCAATCGCCAGCTGAGTACTCCGAGTTCTGGAAAATTGAGAACACTGGATCAGAGAATAAGACAAGGTAACTCAATATGCATTTAAATAAGTTCAGAGGCTCAACAGAGAGAAAAAAGCAAAAGACGACACTCAAGACACGTTTAATTAGAGGCTAGACAGAGAGAAAGCAATTCACGGATAATTCAAATGGTCTTGCACAGACAATTAACTTCACTACAGGCATAATGTGAATGTGTAACAAATTTTATCAAGAACCAGGACGCTTGTATATTGTCAATAACAGAAAAAAAAAAGGACAGTCAATAACTAGCTTTGTTCCAACAGAAGCCCTTCATAGATTGAGAATAATCCTGGCTAGTATCCAATGTATATACCTGCAAGTTTATCCAGAGAGACAAACTCCTTTGGCTCACGGTGGTGGGGAAGTCTCTGGTCCTCATCGCTGTCATCCATATACCATGCCTGTATCACTTCCTCCCTGTCATCCTACAATACAAAAAATAGATGAAATGATCCAATATTTTCCCGTCAAGAAACACACCTTTCTCAACGGGAATCAGGAACTAAACGACACAGAAATTTCAATGGGTCAATTGCACTCAT